ATACATGCCAAGTCAAGAAGGGAATCCTCGTGTGGATCCTCCAGAGAGCGATCCACACAACAGCACCGACCCATATGTCCCTCCAGAGAGCGATTCTGGCCTGCCTCCTTCTGTGCAATCCATGGAAACCACGATCACACTCTCCACCAACTCGGAAGACTTGAGTAGCCTGCAGGTGCACCCCCCCTCTTCACACGCCTCTTCCGTCAATAGGGAACTCTACCTGCTTGCTTTCATAACCCCGCGAATTCCCACAGAGTCCCCCATAAACCTTCCCAGTAATCCCGAGCGATGCCTGCCGCACACGGAGCCTCAAGAAAATGCTTCTCAAGACATTAAGGTGAAGAACATTGCAGTTCTTGACACAATAATGGAATTGTTACGTACCCATATGCCAACCCATGATTACCATGCCGACTAAATGCCCATGAGACATGACAGCTCATTATACCCTTATTTAAAAATAAAAATAATATACAACATCTAAAAGGGTATAACTATACTAATAAAATTACCATATGCTTATCTTTTCCCTATTTAATAACATGGCAATGTATATTATAAAGTAAACAATATTCGGAAAGCAAGGTATGATATAAAAACGGAAGTACTACAATTTTTTATAAAATTTTGAAGCAGCTTTTATAAGAAATAGTTATTTGATTATACTTTTTAATATGTTTAATGCAATCATACGTTGCTTTATTTTCTTTACATTAATAATACTCTTTAGTCGTTCATATACTCGGTTCACGAGTGAAAATTGCTTTTTTAAAGGAGCCTCATCCATATACAAAATATTACTTGAATGAATATTTTGATGCATCCTTGATATTTCTTTATTGATTTTAATCGTGTGTGGTATTGATCTAAAATGGAAAAAAAAATTCAACTATATCTCCTAAGTTGCAAACGAAAAATAAGCATATAAAATGCATTTATTTTTTATTTTCAACTCCTTTTATCGCGCATTTAAACACATTGCTTATACATCCATATTCTTATTGCTTTTTTCATTTGGTATTTTTTTTTTGAAATTTCGTATAATGTAATATTTAGGGCAAGTGGTTTGTACTACTCTGCGTAGATGTTACGATTAACGGACCTTCATTTAACTCCAAATTTAAATATAACTCTCGCTGTACGGGAACGCATACCTTCAGTCCTTAAGGTCGTGAGCCTACTCTAGATTTCGATACCGTGAAGCCACTGTCACAATTAACTTGAGCACACGAGGGTACTGACGTTTGACTTTGCGCGTCATTCAGGGTATTGGACTCCGACACCACGATAAGAAGGTAAACAATTGCTTCTCAGCGAATCTTGATTTAAACTATTATTTTATAAATTTATCTGAAATACATAATTTTTCCATCCATTACTGAGGAATCCATATTCCTCAATGGATGTTTTCTCAATATTCAAGACCATCATTCTATGTCATTATTTATCTAACACCACTTCTACTTCCACTTAACAATAAAATAATTATTGGATGGCTCAAAAATAAATAATACTAAAAAAAGCAACTTTCACACCCATTTTCCCTTACATAACTGTTGCGCTAACGTAGGTGAAACCACGGGCGAGGATGTTGTAAGAAAATCGTTGCCATACACTGCTTCTCAACTATCACGTGATTGAATTCTTTCAGAATGCAGTTGTTTTATGAAAATTCCTGATGTGAATAACCTGTAGAGGGAAGTAAATGAAATTTTTAGTAAATTCCTACGTGCTATAAACGAACGTGTTTAATCAGGAACTATTGGTTTCAAGGATTATGTCAAGCGGCATCCCAAGGACTGATTATAAAAACCCTATCAACCACAGCCGGAAGACGAATCTGAGGGCCTAACGAATGAAGTGCCTCGGCGAGAACTCTGAGAAGCAAGGGTGCACAATGGGGCAAGATATTGATGCTCTCATTTGCAGATGCAGGGTGAAAGCACGAATACGCGTATAGTTGAAAAAAACTGACGCGGATTGTTGTATATCCAGCTACCCCGAGACATCTGACATCAGTAAAAGAACAAAGCATCCCCTGTGATATCTGTTCATCATTCTGTCTGGCTACTCCTTGATATCTGCCAATGAATAAAAAGAAAGTGAATTTTCAGGGCTACCAATGATATGTAAACTGCATTTTCGAAAGACCTACCATATTTAACAATTCTGCGGATTATAATTAGGTGGATTCAACATACACTTCTTCTTGTGTTGATGTGAGAAGCCTCGTAAAGTTACTATTTGCAGATAAACCAAATGAATACATCCCCTTTTTGAACCACACCGCCATAGGAATTTACTACTATACTAACCTCACCAATTGGAAGAAAGTATATCAATAAAATAGGTGTGTGGACTATATCTTTAAAATATAATTTCTTCAGATACAGCCCTCCCTCTTTATGTAATCAAACTTTTTGTTACATACATATCAAATAATATCTATTTCATTTGTATGAAATAAAAAAATGCTTAAGATTACTATGCTATATTTATATATATCATTTCCTAGTTTTTTTTTTACTTGTACTTGGAGAATGCAGCACTATTTTTAGTATATCTGTGTTTTATTAGCCTTTTCAAAACACTTGAGTGATGACTTCTCATGTACGGAGAAGGGGGGGACTTTTAGAAACAGTGTACAATTTACAGTCCATTCAAAAGAATGTAAAGCCTCCCATGTTTTACTCCTATATATCATTGCCAAAACTCATAGAACTTTTTTAGACTTAGAAAGGTTTTCCACACACTTCCCTA